TTTTAATCTACCTCACGGTTGAGAAATAACCTCTGAAAGTACATGAAATTCAACCTCGCGTATACGAAATACAATGTTTTAAAAGGATTTTTGTGTAACAGAACCACGGAATGAATAATGCTGAGATGAGATTAGGGTTTTTCTGCAGGTTAGTCAAGATACCTGATGAAATTGTCAACTAGTATATATTTAAGTAATTAGGACATATATGACCTATAGCGAGACACCAGTTACTTCAACGTATGAAGGTGTTCACGGATGGTCAGATCATAAAAATACAGCTTTCATGGAACTCCTGATTATTGGATATAATTACGTAGAGAAATATGTACTCTCAGACAGCAAAAAGAAATGTCACAGAAAACTAGTTGGCATGGTGAAAATTTGACTGCAATGAGAAAGGCATTTATCCTTTTTCTCCTCAGATAAATTTCGTACATAACACCAAACCATACTTATTCACTTGTAGCTACGCCTAATGCTTTTTCTGGTCATTTCAATACTTTTCTCCCTATGTAATCTATATGTCTTTTGCTGCTGAAAAGTGGTAACTTGAATTGTTATATTTTATGCGAGATTCCCCATTATTTTGCTTATGTTTTATATAAAGAGTCAGACAAAAACATAAAATCAATATAGAACCTTGCACAAAAATACATCGGTTCAAGTTGCCACACTTCACTACAGCATGCAACGAAAGTAAGTAAAAGCAATGATATCAAAGCAGATGAAAGTGTATGGTTGGAGAAAGAATCCGAAAAATGAAGGTTAGTGGAAAATTTTGAACTTCGAAGAGGTCATTGTGACCAGTTTTCTGCCAAGTCGCAAAGGTTCTCCAACCAATGATTCCCAGTTATCCAGGACATCAACCAAGCAGAATACACTTACATACATGGCTCACACTAACAACCAGGAACTTCACGAACTGGTGCCACGTCTTGGTCTGATCACACTGCGCTCTATTTCAACCTATTCCTACTTCGTTTATCACTGCACATTGCGACGACTTGGCATGCGCAACACATGTCCAGACCACGTCAGTCGGTGTAAGTTCACAACCACATCGGTTGACTTGCCTATTAGCCTTCTCCATACCTCTATATTGCTCACACGGCGATCCCAACATAGGACAACAATGTTGCAAAGACGACTTTGATCGAAAGCCTGCAACCTTTTACCGCCTACTTTCAACGACCATGTTTCACAGCTGCATAAAAGAACATAGAGTTCTGAAACACAGTATACTCATCCTCTAATCGGTAGTCGGATATCTCATCGGCGCTAAAGATGAAATAAGTTAGCAAATGATGAACGGACTTTGTCCATCCAAGCTGAGATTTCGTCAACAACCAATCTATTTGGTCTTATGTAACTTGTCAAGTAAGTGGAGTGGTGAGCACATCCTACCAGTTCACTTAAGCTGCGAGTACCTTCATTTTTCACTTCATTACCTTTTTACTTGATGTACTCATATGAGCTGTGGCAACTCGAACCGTTACGCAGTAATGCCTGTTCTTATGTTGGTAGATGATGATGAGCTTGAAACTGGTTGTGAAATATCATCTTACGTTTGACAGGTGTGAAAGTGATGGCAAAGATAGTGAGATTTCTACCCAAGACCTTGATAAAACTGGATTTTGTCTCCAACTTCACGTAAGAGGACACTGTCGTTTGCGTTGTGAAAGTCAAGCAGATACCCTTGAGAGAGTATGTCAATTCTGTTGTAGTCAGAGGTGCATAGGTTTATTTTGATTAGTATACCTATGACTAAGTTGAACAAGAAGAGTGAATGTAATAATCGCTGGTGTATGCAACTGGTTTTCGTCAGTTCCTATGATAACTTCTCATGATCTTTTACACTGTTGTGTGAGTTCGATTAAGGAGCTTTGATTCGCGTTACATACTTGCGCGATACTCCTTTCACATTCAGACATTGCCACAGCACTTCACGGTCGAAATATTCAAACGCCATCTTCAGATCAATAAATACAGCCTATGTTTGACATAGGTAAGTATGCCTGTGTCCCAAGAACTGACAAAAGATGAAGATTTGACCGATTCACCGATAACCTCGTCAAGGTTGAACCCTGTTTGGTTTTTCCGGATTTACTGTTTCTGATCTCCAGTTAGACGTCGAATTACCATAAACCCTAACATCTCAGTCAGTTTAATCAGCCTATGGCTGTCAAAAGAGGACTTTTATCTTTTCTTACCAATCGGAATGTTCAGTGATCCAGACCAGACCGACTCCGATTTCAATGCTCTTCATATTATATCCCTTAATCTACGCAGCTGTGTAAGGGCTTATGGAGAGTTGTCATGTAAATTGACGACAACCTGTGGTATCCGCCAGAGAAGCCTACCCTCACCACTCCTGTCCAGCCTCGTCATCGACGTACTAATGGACATAACATTAGGTACTTCTGACTTCACAGAGATTAATTTTCGCCCAGGAAGTTATCTGGTTGATTTGCAGTGTGAGGACGACATTGTCCTGCTAGGTGAAGACGCTGACAAAGTCCAGCGTCTTGTGAACGCGCTGGGTAGAAGTCTGAGTTTGTTTCACATGCATTTCTCACCTGTCAAAATGCACAATGGTGCGAAAGGATCTCACCTATTATTCATGTATGGACAGAAAAATGTGTATGACGGGTATACCGATGAGAAGTATTCCATCTATGTTTAGCTCTCCATATCACAAGCTTTCGCGTTTGCCAGCTAAGAAGTTGAAAAAGATATTTCAGAAATTGTCACTGTATACTATAAAAGACTTTTGATTTCACTGGAAGCATAAGATATTTCAATTTGTTGGACAAATTCATGACTTCATATGACATAACTTCCTTGTTCACGAGTATATCTCTCTTTAAGACAGTAGATATTATTTACCAATTTGCTTAAATTAGACATGAAGCGTCTCCTGCTTTTACGCAATAAAGATGTTCAGTTCCAATTCGACGCGACTATGTACAAACAAGTTAATGGTGTGACTATAGGAAGTCCATTATTACCACTAATAGCGGATATCTTCACGTCACACCTAGCAAACACTACCCTAAAGCCCTAAATCAATGAAAGTATGTTTTATTCAAGATATATTGACGGCACCTTTATTATCTGTGGATAAGTTAAGGAAGTCGCTTCAATACCACATTATAGTATTAAGTTTACAATAGAATGTGACAAAAAGTAGCAATTGAATTTTCTAGACTTAACTTTCAAACGTAATGAGCATGGTTCACTTGAGAGAAGTATTCACTGCAAAACCACATGGAGTGGTAAGTATTTAATCTTTAACAGCTTTTTTCCAATTAGCTACAAAAGCGGTTTAATGAGGACGTAATACCTGAGGACAGAGAGATTATGCTCCTAAGAGAAACTACATAATGATGGTTATCCGGTGAATTTCATCTAGAAGTACCTCAAAAGCAATGAAAAGAGAGAGGGGTGTATCACTGTTGAAAAGAAACCAGTGTTTCTTAATTTGGCTTTCAAGGGAGATGATGGTGCGACAAGAATTACTGTCCAGGACTTATCCGGCTGCAAGATGTCTCATTGTATAAAATATTTGCAATTACATATTTCCAAGTCCTGTTAATTCTAACTGTGGTCATCAATTCACATGTATATGTGGAAGCAAGAACTCAGAAAGAACAAGAAGGCGGTTGTCTTCCAGGATTGACGAGTCTGTGTTTCAGACATCCATCCTCATTCAGCAGTGCAATAATTCGTCACTTATTTGACACAGGACGTTGAGCAGATGCTATAAAATTCTTCAAAGCAGTCAATAGGATAAAGGTCACTAGACTGAAGTTGCTGAACTCTTCGGTGCTATACTATATGCCATGCGTAAGTTAACAGAGAATAGAAATCTCCTTCAGTAATTTTAGTTGAGTCACTCACTTGGTTGACTAAGGGGTTCAGGTATGGGGACACTATTGATCTCAAAAGCTCATTAAGAATGTTCTAGTCGAATAATGAGAGCGTTTTCAACTATCATAACATCGTTTCCATTGTTATGAATCAGTAGTAAGTGATTGGAAAGGCGCATATGTTTACATTATATTCCTCATGAGAAGAAAATAACCAACTAGTTGATTGCACTCGATAAATGACTTACATGTTTATCGCACCATACATTATCTTTTAAGCAAATACGACTGTCGCTTATATATATATATATATATATATATATATATATATATATATATACTGTGATTGAAACTGAAAATAATATAAGTAGAAATCATACAACTAGAAGTGTGCAGTTGATTATAAGTAAAAGCAGAGGTTACAAGACATGAGCTTATGAACATGCTATCAGTACTCTTCACTATCATGGTCTGTGTTCACTCATTTGTCTCATCTTGTAAATGCATAAGATTACTGTTTGAACAGTAGTTGCTATTTCGGAGTCTAATGTAGTGATGGATTCATCGATACAATAAGATATTGAGTCACGGATAAAATGTTACCTTAGGTTGGATTACGTTTTTAAAAGGCTGGGAGTGGTAATTTGAAGACATGAGATCCATCGATCTTTGAAGTGTCTGATTACACTGGTATGTGTTATTTTGAAAAATGTGGATTTTTTTTTGGTTGAGATCCTTTTGAGGTAACTGAAGTTGATGATTAGAGTCTTGAAGTGATATGACTCAGAATCAATGGTGTTGTTGCATCCATCACATCTTTACTTAAATCATAATATAATATGTTATTATTCCATTTATCTCTTTGTCCGTTTGTCTTTGCATTTTTAGGATTCGTGATTATCACTATTTTATTTATTTTGTCTCTTATTGATTTTTATTATGAGGTGGTGGGGAGAGTTGAACCGCTACTCACTAATTATCATTCAGGTCTCTTATGTTGTTCAGTTTTATCCTATAACCAAAATATTGATATGTAAGTCATTTTTTCAAAGGAAAATTTGTAATAAAAAAAAAAAATAATAATAACACTGTTTACTTGACCTTCACGTTTTGTAAATTTTAATTCAGCTAATACCTGGAAAAAAATATACCGAAATTGATGTCAATTGTACATTACCAGTGTGCCACAATTTCATTACACAGATAAACAAAGAAACGCAATCACCTACAGCACTAGCTTTTCGTATTCAACAGTATGTGAACAGTGGAAATAGTGAATTCAGGTATATTCTAATTAAAGAAAAACTCAGTTTTCACTATTATTTTTCGTTTTTTTTTTTAGGTCACTTTTGCACAAAAGTTATCCAAAGATGAAAATTCCTGTTTTTCATTTTTTTGTTACTGAACAGATTTATACAGTGAGTACATTATATACCTTAATTTCTTTATCAATGCAAACTGTGTTCTTTGTTCATTGTTTTGTCGAATCCCTAGTATATATGTGCGTTATTAATTGTGGTGTTATTGAAATAGATATACTTTAAACCAGTCGAAATAAATACTCTTTATTCAATCAAATCACTGTGAGTTATCAAAAAATAAGGAACATTGAGAAATGAACAACATTTACGTAATTCTTTCCATTATTGAGGAAGGGAGAGATAATTCAGCAAGGAAAATCTTCTTTTTCAACGATATCATTTTCTAAAGCTATACAATCGTACTTATACATATCATAAACGTATAACAGTCGATTATTAGACAACAGTGTATAACTACATCATTAAGCTAGTCCTAAAAAACTAAAAACAAGAATGGAAAAAACAGTTGCGTAATAATCTTTTAGACAGCGGAAATACTGAAGAAGATGAGTAGTTTGACAAGGTGAAAATTATTGGTAGATATAAAATGCGAATATTGAGTGTCCACTTGATAGATAGACATAAAAAAAGGTAAATAATGAGACAAGGGTCATAATGAAGATGATAATAATAAACTAAGTATAATGAAATCGAAATATCGTGAGTGTTAAGACCATGGTAAGACAAGTGATTGTACATACTTCTTTTGCACGTAGAGATCAGGTTCGAATTGGTGAATACCCAGTGCTTCAGTTGTTTACAACTGTCGACGGTGTACTTCTTTTGAACTATCTCATTTGATTCTATAAATGACATTAAAGAAGGTCTCTGGTCGATCTGTATGTCCCCAGAGTTGACCAAATGTTTAAGAACTGAACTGTTAATTGATTTACATTCTCCCCTTGACAACCATGCAGGATAGTGCTCAGAGATACGTTTAGAAGGTACGCGCTTTGTGTGGCCTATATAACTAGCTCCACAGAAGCAAGTAAATTTGTAGACATACGTTGAGGTGGCCCAAAGTAGAAACTTGTATTTAACGCACTCCAGAACCATTTGCTGACCAGAGATGCTGATCTGTAACTTCTCAGAGAAGAATATTTTCTTCAGTGATTTGGACAACCGATTCTTCAGTATCTCTGCTGCCGTATCGCCTTTGAAACCAACGTTCATAAACAAGGTCTGCTTCAGAATTGTGAGTACTTACTCTGTATTCTGTTTTATTTTGAAGTTCTCAATAAGTCTGAATGGATATCCATTTTGCATGAGAATCTTCTGTTGTTTGTCTTATTCATCGTCAATAGCATCACTTGTGCAGATTCTAATGATTCTTGAAGATAAAGAATAAATCAGATTCCTTTTTCCTGCTGAGAGGCACCCAACTATGGAAATTCAAGTATTGTCCATTCCATGTAGACTTCCTATAAATTGATCTTTGAAGAGAGTCATCTGGTCTCCGTTTCAATAAGACATCGAAAAAAATCGAATGCTGAGTTCTCTTCAAATTCTGATGTGAAGAGTTGATCGATGGGTGACAATCAACTTTTTAACTAAACTCCCCATATCTGTATTTTGATCACATATGACGAATGAATTATCCATATATCTTTTTTATTTAGGTAAAAACTATCAGTTGTTGAATGAAGCACAATTCTGTAGGTTTGCCATAAGGCAACCAACCAGCAGTGGTGCAAGTGGTGACCCCATATCAACCCCATCCTTTTATCTGTTTAGCTCATTGTTGAATTTCAACTGCACGTTGAAAGTACATCTTAGAAGTGATTCCTTCGAATAGGGCTTTAGAATACTCACTTAAAAATTATTATCTTCGATGAAATCACATTGTGTTATGTCACAGTAGGAAACGTCCAGTGGATAAGCTATTGCGTTTTAGATGATGAAAGTAGCCTAAGTTCATCATCATCATTAAGACCAACATAGGACCAGGGATTATTGCGTAATGGTCCTTATGGCCACATCTCATATCAGCACATCAAGTAGCACGACAATTAGATGGAAGATGAAGATGGAAAAAAATCGGTCAGAAGGAGCAAAAAGTAGTAAAGGAGAGGAAGGAGGGAGGAAACAATGATGAGATTAAGTATAGCGGTCAAGATGAGGATGATGTGTATTCATCTGCGCCACTGACATTGGTCCTGAGTCATATCTACTAGTCTCCAGTCACTGTCTTCTCTTGTCCCTAGGACCCCAACTAGCTAGTCTACATCGCCCTAGAGGGCTCAAATCAACCAACAGCCAATGGATTGATGCCATGTTTTAGCCTGGCCAGTCTGAGCCTTTTTCTAGCCTGAACGCACTTCGGATAACATTTTGCAACGAGACAGACGCTGGTTAGGCGTACGTGACACATGTCGTAGCCATCTCAGTCGATGAAGATTATCCAAATAATCAATCATACTTTAGTAGCCTAAAGTATGATTGATCACTTGAATAATCTTTTATTGAAATATTTCACAGTATACACCTGCATAGTATTGCCTGTTGCCTACTCCAGAATACAAAGCTGTTTATAACAGGTTGATTAACAAGAAAAAGCCGATGCATAGATGTTTCCAAGATGTTTCGTAAGTCTGGTAAAGTCATAGGTACTTTAGATATCTTCCCTCAGCAACAACAGTGTTCCTAGGACAAAGACAATACTTCTCATTTGATTTATCCATATAGTTTGAACTTAGGTTGACTAAAAGGAATACAGTGTACTTCGTTTGATCAATACTTGCGATTGTTTTCAGAAGCACTTTTTCCATTTCTCTTTATAAACTACTGATATAGGTAAGCGTTCCTTCAAGGGACACAGGAAACTCGGAATCATCTGATGATGTATCCAATATTTCAACTTTTATCAAACCAAATAATGTCTATGGTTTAGAACGTGACAAACTTATCAATGCAGTTAACTCAAGGCTAAAAGCTACTCGGAAGAAGCCACATCCTTCAGAATCAAGGAATTTAGTACGTTGTTAACATTTTTATCGTTAATTCTTCCTGATTTTTATTGACTATGCAGAGGAAGCAATTAACTGCAAGGAATGGGTCGAGCAGGGTTCAAACTCGTGGCGAACTGGTTGAGAGTGCCTAAACTAATGAACCGCAACTAATACACACGCAATATGTACTCTAAGTATTTTGAGTTTTCTGCAGAAAATTTCCTGAAAAAAATATTTCATATCTCCACTTAACAGGATAAATAGTTGAGTGGTTGCTGTATTTGAAAGCTGTTGACACTTGGATTTCCACACATATGACAGACATAAAGAAGGCACTGAATGTTATCGTACCTGTCATCCGTAAGGTTGTTTATTTATTTACTATCTATCGTAAATACAAACTTAGTACAATATGCACACTAAGGAATGCCTCGTCCAATGTAATAAAGCCACGGTATAAAGCCAAAAATAAAAAACGCAGGACAATAAATGGAGAAAAAAGTGGTCACTACTGGTTTCGACTCACAGTTATGCCAGACCCCATTTCAAGCGACAAAAATTGAGTGGTCTCTCGGACCCTATGCAAACAGTTGTGAGATAGCAAGGAATGCTAATCCAGCATGAATATCCATCATCCCATGGCACCGAAATATACACTGGCTTCCGTCCACTTTTCATAACCAGTTCTGTATCTCATAAACGCTATGACTGACAAAATTATCGTAGAACCTCCCACGCAGGTGCTTCGTCTCAAGTTGCAACACTTCACAGAAGTACACAAAAAACAGATGGGTAGAAAAGTAGTGTATGAGAATAAGCAATCTCATGATAACGGTTAGTGTGGATATTCAAGTGTTAGAGGATGCTAAGTAGTGAATACATCTGCGCCACTGTGACCGATTTTCAACCATGTCATCAATAGCCTTCAACCACTGATTCCTTTCATCTCTAAGACCCCAACCAGGCAGTCTAAATCTCCTCACACGGCTCAGAACAACAGTTGTAGACTTCATGGACTAGTTCCACATCTTAGACTTGCAATTCTGAACTCTTCCAGTCTAACTTAACTCCCGTAGGTTGGCACGTCGATGTAGGTGGTGGCTCGGTTTGTACATGTTCAAATCATCTCAACCAACGAAGATTCACAACCTCATCAATCGACTTGCCTTTCTTGTCTAGTAAGCTTTCACCTGACCTCAACATTGTTCACGTGAGCCATGATGCGAAGACATATATAATCAGAACCCAGTAATCGCTTCATGTCTTTTACTTTCAACGACCATGTCTCACAGCCGTATAGCAGGACAGAACAGACTGCAGTGCAGTGTACTCGTACTTTTATAGGTATTCGAATATCTTGCTAGTCGGGATGCAGGTTGGCAATTGCCAAACAACCTCTCTGTATCCGAGCTGAAATTTCGTCAACAGTCAGCTCGTTCGTGCCTATGTAACCACCCAACTAAGTGAAGTAAGTTGTCGACATATTCCACCACTTCACTACCACCTATCATTAAACTGAGATTACTTACAGGAGATCAGTTGTGAAGCTTCATGGTGCATTTTGACAGGTGAGAAATGCATGTGAAACAAACTCAGACTTCTACTGAGCGTGTTCACAAGACGCTGGACTTTGTCAGCGTCTTCACCTAGCAGGACAATATCGTCCTCACACTGCAAATCAACCAGATAACTTCCTGAGCGAAAATTAATCTCTGTGAAGTCAGAAGTACCTAATGTTATGTCCATTAGTACGTCGATGACGAGGCTGGACAGGAGTGGTGAGGGTGGACTTCTCTGGCGGATACCACAGGTTGTCGTCAATTTACATGACAACTCTCCATTATCCGTGATACGGCTGTGTGTGTGTGTGTGTGTTCGAGTAGAGAGTTTTGATTAACACTATATACTTGTTCTGTAGTTTTTTCACAGTCAGATACTGCCACAACAGCATGTGGTTACAGAGTGGAATGATACTTTGAGACTAGGAAATATGGCAAGTATCGGGTGCTAGTAGGAATGCGTGTATTCCAGAAAGTGTCGGAGGGTGAACATATGATTGATGCACCCTCGTTGATATCTGAAATGTGACTAGTTCTGTGTAGTTTACTGTTGTTGAACTGAAGTTAGGTGTCGGGTGACTTTGGATGGTAGGATGTTGGATACGCTACCAGTTAAATAAATTTCCGTAGGATTATCACAAGAAGACACAACCCGATTTTGTAAAGATAATAGCACGGACTGAATAATTTTTTCACATTGTGCACAGTCAGAACACTGAATTGGAATTCTATTATATTCATTCTGTGTACCAGCTGGGACTAATAGTGAATTTAGTATGAAGGAACCCAGTCAGTAATCTGGCTACCGACCTTGGTCATTCAGTCAGGAATTCAGAAAGAAATACTTGTAGTCTGCACTACTAATTTAGGCAATATAACTTTAGGGTACATGGTTCGCTATTTTGTTCCACTTCCTTATGCCTACTGTTTACAGGCTATCTTATAAAGGGTCTCAGTTTGTCTTCATTTTTGAAGGTTTATATCAAGTCGATCTTTCCTACTTACTTCTGTACTAATTTGTCATTTTTTTCTTTCCTTTTTAGGTATCTGAAGATGACTGTGAATCGAACGAAGATATTTCACGTGAAATTAATTGTCGTAGCCAAACGACCACTTTTGCATGGGCTAAATTTTGGAAGGAGAGACAAGATTGGCGGTCAGTAGCTAAACGAGAAAGAAGACGCGCTTGCCAGAGTTTTGGCTTAGATTTCCTAACACTGAAACACAATGAGAATGATGATAATAATATAGAAAAATAATGTTTGATAGATCAATTTGTAAATACTTACCTGTAAAGTACTTAATTTTATTTCGAGTTATGCATAGTACCTGTCGAATGTTGTATCTCAAGGATACTGGTGTTTAAAAATTAGGCTTATTGGTTAGTAGCAGTCATCAGTGGAATTTTGTGTGAGCTAGCGTTAACTTGTCTCCTTGCTGAGGTTTCAGTTCGTTCCGTTCACTTTATGAGTGGAAGAGTACCACTAAGTTATTCTGATTGCTACCAATTCCCTGATTACACGTTCAAACTAATTACAAAGTTGTGAACACTGGAACGCTTTAATAAATTTTAAAGCGGAACAATTAAAATTCTACAGTGAAATGATGCAATCCTAACCTTTTCTAATTGTTGTCTAAATCTAATCTGCTGTAATTACTATCGTACGCTCTTAGAGTACCACTATCTGCTCACCGTTTCCATAACTTGTATTGTGTTGAACAATGCTACTAGTTTTATAAGACAGCCCGTTAGTTATGACTATTCTTTTGAAAATTAAGGTGATGAAAGAAGTCGACTTTATGACATCAAGAAAGAATGAAATGTGTACACGCATGAACACTAAGGTATACAAGTAACATTACAAAAATCTCTGCTTTTTAAAAGTTTATCATTGTATTACACTTATGTTAGATAAACTATCTGTGCACTGTGAATATGTCCGTTCACTAACTAATTGAAGTGTGTCTCATTGGCTTAAGCATTGAGTGACCAGTTAACCGCACGAACCCTATCACTATAAGTGCGGCTCATGATCTGGTACATAAATATCTTTCAGGTGGAGTTTCATCACCATCAACTAATTGTGATGTGTGGACCAATTAAGATTCTGCAGCTCTTGTGGTGTTTTTTCGTCCTTTCAAGATGGTTGTAAAAAAGGAAGGGGTGAAAATTTGCAAGTACTATCTTGGAAATGGTAAAATAATGCACTTAATAGTCATACTAGCAATAAGAATATCTAGACGATAATATGAAAGTCTAAGAAGAATTCAAATAAGAGCCCACTGTATATTATAATGTTGATCTATGCAAGAATATTCACCCTAGCACTGTCATAATGACTTTAAGATACTACTTGCTTTGTGATACTGTTTTCTGGATGTGATCTTATAGGCTAAGTTTCATTTTCAAAAAGATGTACAACAATAAGCGAGAATTGATTGAATTGTCAGGGATTTTAATGATCTAGAGTGGTAAGATAAAAACATACTTTGCATTGCTCTCTGTTACAGTGGATAAAAGCAGTTTAAAGAGAACAAGAGTAAAGTAGTGGTTAAGGAACACAATCTTCGTGTTCAAATTATCAAATACTGATTCCATTTGGATAACGTTCATTGAAAATAGTCGGTTTTACGAAGTTTAAGTACTAGTAATGAACAATAAGCGTGATTGTAAAGTGTTCAGTGATAAAATTAAAACATTCAGGATGATCTCTAGCACAATAATGCGATCCAAAATAATTTAAGTCAAACAAGTAGTTTGGTTATGGCTAGCAAAAGGACCCAGGATGCGCCTCTCGTCCTACTTAGGACTCATCAGCTGGATATACCTGCACCCCAGTGAGTAATTTTGTTCCCACTGAGACTAACCTCATACCCAGCGTTTCAAACGCTGTGTAGTTCACCATGCCACGGAGGCACGCTAGCCACTTCTCGTACAACAGGTATTAGTTATTACTACTTATTGATAAGCTTGTAATTTTCCGTTGTTTTATTGGATCGGGTTGTTCAACCGGTATTGGCATATGGGCTCCTATGCGGATGCCTCGATACTGCCTGAATGTTAATCTGATTGGCTGTGGCTGGCAAGAAGTGGGTATCGTGCCTCCGCGGGATGGTGGATAATGCCTTTGCGTTTGAAGCGATGGGTACGAGGTTCGAGTCATAGTGGGAACAACACTCACTGGGGTGCATACATATCTGGCCGACGAGTCCCAAATAGAACGAAAGGCACGTACTGGACTCTTCTGCTAGCCACAATCAACCAAATTAACGTAATTCACATCCAGGCAATATCGAGACCTCCGCATAGGAGCACATATAACAAACAGGTAATGTTCTGTTTGATGACGGCGACTGGAGGTTAAATCTGTTAGCGACCATTAGTTTTATCAGTATGTTATATATATGTTTTTAGTGCGTCTTAAACTGCTATTCTGAGTTCAATACTTCCAGTTAACTATCTTCAACTTTCCAAAATGGAGTCCAATTCACACTACTATCTAGCCGCTTAACTCAGTGGTCTTACTGAAAATGATTGATCTGAGTAATAACAGACAACAAATTCACTTCTCTACTTGAGGTCTTGACCACAGTAACTTTATAGATTGGTGGTAACTCAAGCAAATCCACGTGGAACCACGCATAAAAGTATTTCTGTTCGAGTTGATACAAATCATAGAGTCATGTAATAAAGAAAGGCAGAAACAGTAGTATTAAGGCGAGCAAATCTGCATCCATGGTTAGGTAATAAATCGACGAAGGTTACCAAAATGTCCAAGATTTTGACGACATTAAAGAGTATGAATCTACCCCATTTTGAATGATTTCGAACTATATTACCAAGTTTCCAACCATTGGTTCTTATCTCAAAGACTCTAGCCGGGCGGTCTACGCCTCCTTATACGTCTGAGACCAACAGTCAAACTGCATGGAGTGATACCACGTTTTGGTCTGACCTCGCTGAGCCCTATTCCAACTCATTCCTACTTCACCTAACATCGCGCTGGTTCTGTATGCCCAACACATGTCTAGACCATCTCACTCGGTGAAAGTTCACAACCACATCGGCTGACTTGCCTTCTTTGACTATTAGCTTCGTCTTACTTCGATATCGCTCACACGGAGACCCCACCTACCACAACAGTGCTGCAAAGACGACTTTGATCAACAGCCAGCAACCTTTTACCGCCTACTTTCAACGACCATGTTTCACAGCTGCATAAAAGAACATAGAGTTCTGAAACACAGTATACTCATCCCCTTATCGGTAGTCGGATATCTCATCGGCGCTAAAGATGAAATAAGTTAGCAAATGATGAACGGACTTTGTCCATCCAAGCTGAGATTTCGTCAACAACCAATCTATTTGGTCTTATGTAACTTGTCAAGTAAGTGGAGTGGTGAGCACATCCTACCAGTTCACTTAAGCTGCGAGTACCTTCATTTTTCATTTCATTACCTTTTTACTTGATGTACTCATATGAGCTGTGGCAACTCGAACCGTTACTCAGTAATGCCTGTTCTTATGTTGGTAGATGATGATGAGCTTGAAACTGGTTGTGAAATATCATCTTACGTTTGACAGGTGGGAAAGTGATGACAAAGATAGTGAGATTTCTACCCAAGACCTTGATAAAACTGGATTTTGTCTCCAACTTCACCGAAGAGGACACTGTCGTTTGCGTTGTGAAAGTCAAGCAGATACCCTTGAGAGAGTATGTCAATTCTGTTGTAGTCAGAGGTGCATAAGTTTATTTTGATTAGTATACCTATGACTAAGTTGAACAAGAAGAGTGAATGTAATAATCGCTGGTGTATGCAACTGGTTTTCGTCAGTTCCTATGATAACTTCTCATGATGTTTTACACTGTTGTGTGAGTTCGATTAAGGAGCTTTGTTTAACGTTTTACTTCCTACTCTTCAGTGTTCATTGTATTTCATTGGTCAAAGAGTCCAGCTTAGCCAACATACTGCGTAATAGGTGCTCTTATGGAGTTTATCTGGTGTTGGAAGTTTGAAAAAATTCGTTACTTCATATTTTTGTGCTTCGCTTGTGAATTTTTGTCAACATTGTGTATATCTAACTTCAAGACATGATGTAGTGATGCTACTGGTAATCGGTTTATTCAAATTCGTAATATTTTTGCTGATAATATTCACGTCATGCATTTTTCAGTAAATACGTTGAACTTCATTATCTTGGATCTGATTAAGACTCGTATAACATGCCATTCTCACAGATGTGATCCCCTTTCAAGCTGTTTATAACGGAGGACCTTCTGACAATATAAATCCTCAATTCATTCAATTGGTTCTATTAGTATAAGAAATTGGTGATATTGTTGTTTGCTGGAAAACAATAGAGGTTTGTGAATTTTCACAATTGACCTATTTTTTGCTTGAGTTCAAAGTCGCGTTCATGGTGCCATATTATTTATGTATACCTAAAGACAATGTTATGCGCTGTCTTATGTTTCAACAGAGTATTTCTAATGATTATCGGTTTGACTATCTGAGGTAGCCGTGGTTTGGTAGACTTCTATTAATACTGGATGATAATTGAAGGTTTTCAGTTCACTTTCATTCATCACCCGGTATTTCTAATGAATTAAAGTTGTTTGACTGTTCAACTGCATAAAGTTTGTGTGGGAGTTATCGTGAATTTATCTAGGAAGGGATATAACCTCTTTTATTTTATTAGCTTGTGAACTGTTATACCCTTCTTACTGCTTGTTGTGTGATTGTTGTCACTTTTTATTGTTCTTGTAGTGACTACTTGATATAACTTAAGCAACATATATGTGCGAATGCTTGAACAATAAGCTTGAGATTCCACACATTGATGGTCACTCAGTTTTCTCGACAAATGAAAAAGGTGGTAAGATAACAGAAAGTGTATTATAACGACAAAAATATTTGCAAAATCCAATGATTTATATATGGTAGTTGGTTGGAGGTAATCGCTAGGTAGCCCTGAACCTGGGTTTCGTGCTTTTTGGGACTCATCAGAAAGCCGTATCTGCAACCTAGAGGAAACTGATGTCCCACCTGAGATCCGAACCTGCATCACCTAGTGTTGTAGTCAGCGACACTATCTTTGAGCTATTCGGGTCGCGATTTACCTCCTATATGACTGGAATTTTGAGTCTTATTAAAGATTAAAACATACACGATCAAATGGTAACATCCAGATCAACCTAGAACTAGGCATTACTGCGTAACGGTCCGAGTTGCCACACCCATATCAATACATCAAGTAAATAAGCAGTGAGGCTCAAGATTAAGATAAGAGAATGCAGTCGAAAGAAATATAGAGTACGAAAAGAGAGAAAGGAAGAATGAGAAACTGGTGAGATTC